TCTTTGGCAATGTACATTGGTAAATTCTGGCTCCTTCTCAGGCTCAGGTTGGCCACCCCTGATATAGGGTATGTCTACACTGCAAAAAAACACCCTTGGCTGGCCCAGGTCAGTTGATTTGGGCTCACAGGACTCAGGCTGCAGTGTTATAAAATTGCAGTGTAGACCCTATGACAGGGGAGGGTCTCAGAGCCCAGGCTCCAGCCCAAGCATCCATAAAGTTGCAGTATAGTCCTCCAACCCGAGCCCAAGCACCACAAGCCCAAGTCAGCTGACCCAGGCCAGCTGCAAGTGTTTTATCGCAGTGTAGATATACCCATAGACAAAAATGTAGAGACCACTGATGGAAAGAAGGCCTTCTACTCAATGGCTAGAGTGGTATTTCAAGAACAGTCTGCAGATATTTCTTGTGATGCTGGACTACCATTGAACCATAGGAAAGAAAAGACACTTACTTTCTCCAGGCAATCAGAATTTCTTATGCAATCTGAAGCATTTGAAAAACCTAGAACACCTCCAGAACAGACTATGCATGAAAAAGTATTTGAGAAAAACTCATTACCTACAAATGAACACTGGCTGAGATCTCTCCTGTGGTCTTTTAAGACTACTACCTTGTGATGTCCTACCAATACCAAATGACAAATGATATTGTTAGAGAGACAAGGTGGGTGAGGTAATATCTTTTATTGAAGCAACTTCTGTTGGTGAGAGAGACAAACTTTCGAGCTTACACAGAGCTCTTCTTCAGGTCTGGGAAACTAAATCAACTAACTAATGGTCCCTTGAAATATGCGTTAACTACTTATGTTTAACAATCTGTTCAAATCTTGCATTTAGCAGTGACTCTTGGAGTTAGTTTCCCAGGCCTGAAGAAGAGCTCTGTATAAGCTCAAAAGTTTGTCTCTCTCATCAACAGAAGTTGGTCCAATAAAAGATACTACCTCACTCACCTTGTCTCTCTAATATCCTGGGACCAACATGGCTACAACACCACCCCATATAACAATGGGTGATACTGTTCACATTCAAGTGATTGTATTTTGGACTGGTTTCAACCACAAGCTTGCACCAAAGAGTTAGTGCATATGCACATGGCAGGTGCATATGCACTAACTCTAGCTCCAAAGAGCAAAATATGCCACATTTATAGGCAAGCAGCAGATATGATTGATTTGGTTGACTTAACCTACTACTGTGGATGCCAAACCAGCTGCCATGGCCACAGTCTATACTAAAATACTGAAATGTAAAGAAATGTCAGCAGCTCTAGGACAACAGCATGCTGTTCAGATCAGGGATTCAGACCATCTATGTTGTTGCTCAGCAAGTGAAATGGACCTTCCCAAATGAACTTGGTACCAATGTGATTCACTTGGGTGGTTTTCACACCCTGTGCTGCTTTATTGCATGTACTGGGAAATTTTGAGGAGACTCAGGATTGCTAGACCTTGTTGATTCTGATATACATGTAGCTTGCACTGCAGATCAAATGCTTGCTGGCAAGCAATTCAGCCATGCTCTATGTGGCTTGACTCTAGCATCTGAGGCCTGGAGCATGCTATACAAATGTATTATTAGATTTTGTTTTACCATTTAGATGGTTATTGTAAGGCTGTGAGGTCAAAGAAATCCAATTTTATGTCCTGAAATACAGAGTCATTAAACTAACAGAAAAGAATGCAAATATTTCGCAGGGGTCATTTTAACATGTTGATGGTGTCACTGTTTACCCCATTTCTATGGTAACAGAAATGCCATACCTCACCTTAAAGAAGACACAAGCTTTCAGATATTGTATGACTTCAAGTTAAGCATGTAGACAAGTGTTTGCAGCAGAAGTTAACATTTTTATTACAAATTATTTCTTAGTGACAAAATCTTACTTCCAAAACAAAATGTATAAGTATAGTTTCATTGTTAAGTGATTAAAAATAAATACATATTGGCCAAGTTTTTCAAAAACAGGATGTTAAAGTTACACTCCTAAATGTTTAGGCACCATATTTAGGGTGGTATTTTCAAAAGCATGAAAAGTAACTTTGGAGCACAATTCCCAATGATTTCAAACCCTGATGAAGGAGTATAGCATACTCAAAGCTCTTCAGCGTTTTTAACTTGTGAAAGTTCAATGTATCAGATGGCAGAGTTGGTTTCAAATATCATACAAGGGCTCTTTGTATCAAATTTTGCATTTGATTGAATTGTTCCCCCAGTAAGGATGTTACTGAGACCCTACACTTGTCATTTTCAGCACAAATTTTTGTAATGTGAGATTTCTCAGTAAAAGAAGTCTCTGTAAAAAAACTTGCTTTAGGAAGGGCGGTACTATCTGTCCCTGAGATTTTATTACATTTAAGCCATTTGACAGGCTATTTTTATCACATATAGCATCTACGTACCTTGCTCAAATAGACATAACTATGCTGAGAATAAACTAAGTGAGGTTTATTCTTCCACGAAGATTAACTTATCCCATCAGTAATGCACAGGGTTTGCAGTCTACTTTGTGACTAACCACAAGTGTCTCGAGTCCACTTCCACTGTATATACGCATGTCCCGATCATGCCACTTTCCTCTGCCTTTCTTTACCTTCTCGTACTAAGATCTACCTTGATTAGTTTTGATATGGTGCTATTATTCCTTGTTCTTTTCTTATCACTTTCTGCCTCTATTTACAATATTTTGTATCATCAGAAGCTGGGGATCTATCATGTTCAGTTTCTTTCTCTTCCCCTTGTCTATGTATTCCTTGAATAGCCTCCTGGATTTTGCTAATTCACTCTTCCTGTACCACCCACATTGTGATAGGCCTCTCTCTGAGACAGTATTCTCTGCATGACAGCAAAATTCTCATTCTCTGACGTGTGTTTGGACAGACTTCTGTTTACACCTGCATTGGTGACTGCACTCATTTCTTCTCACCTGTCGGGTTTTAAGAAGAGAGTGTCCCTAAGCTATGCTGTACTAAGTGTCCACCACTCATTCCTTTGCTTGTGTAACAGGGTAGTCTGACTCCTTTAAGGGAAGTTTTGTTCCAGGAAAAGCCAGTTCTGTTCTAAAACTTGGAATTGTGGGATCTGCATTTCCCCAGAAGGAGACGGAAAGAAGTATTAAGATGATAGAGGTTGCTCCATAGTAGCTTACCAGTGAGAGATTGGCTACTCACAGTCTTCCTGCTTACTTGACTATCACTTGACTGAACTACATATTTTGTTACCAATAAGGAACATGGCAGGCAGAATTGTAGGAAAGAGATCTTTATTGCATATGCTGAATGGCCAGAGTTAGATGTCGAGGCTCTAGAGTTTCTGGGCAAATAGCCTAACTCCACCTTGCCTTCTTGAGCCTGGTGCACACGCAAGTAGGTCTCTGACCCTCTTCACTAAGTTCCATACACCCCTTGCATTTTCGCCATGTTATGAGCAAATTAACATACATAATTAACTTCCAGTTCCACTTATACTATACTGCCTGTTCTTAAAGGGGTTGATCCTTAGAACAAGGTTGGCTAGCTCCATTCCACAAGAATACATAATGCCCATCTCTGCTATAAAACCACAATATCTTGTCTTTAAACTGTATGTTACAACATGTAAATCCTCAAACACACCACAAGAGGAAACTAAGACATACAAAGAAGAAAATCTCAAAAGATCTACTGGGGTGAAGTAGATTTTTTTAAGTCCCACCTTTTCCTATTATTGTCCATTCATCTAAGATGTTGTCTGGTATTGTATTGTCCAGGTGAAAGACTGTTGCACCATCTTTAACAAACAAAACACACACCTACACCACCCCACACCTCCTTTCTGGTAATGCAGTCCTTGCTATCTTCCTTTTTTACTTCCTTTTCTTCCTTAATTACTCATAGAATCTTGTTATTAGGATGATGGTTGTACTTTGTTTCCATGCTCAGGAGAAAAAAAAACAGATTCCCTTTCATTAGCCATGATTTTCCCCCATTACAGTTTCTCTCCTTTGATTTAAAAAGGAGAGCAACAGAACCTCATCTTGAGCTGAGGAAGCAATCATTCCATATTTCTTCTTTCTTTCTCCAATTCTGCAACCAGATTCCCACTCATCACCAAGCCATGCAGCTGTTGGCAGGTCAGTTATTCCTTGTCCTAGAACCAACTTCTCTACCAAGGTTCACTGTTTCCTCAAGATCTAGGATAACCTCCTTCAGTTCCCCCCTCCCTCCCCGCCCCCAGGTAATCAGCTGTCACCTTGGCATCTCTTTCCTACCCAATCAATATTTTTACTAGTTTATCAGCTTCCAATATCACCTCCTGTGCTTGGTTTCAAAGAAGTCTCTTCGGAATGGGTCAGTCTTTGTTCAACCGCCCCATCCAGGTTTGAGGCCAACTGTTTGGTCCCTTTTAGCCTACAGGAAATGTTATGCTACCTTTTATTACTTTACTTTGCTTCTCCTCCCTCCCTATTCTTCTGTCTGTTGTCTTTTCTGTTTGTTTGATGCAGTCTAAGTTCTTTGGGGCAAGGACCCAACAAGTACTATGCAAAGATATGTTGCAATGTAAGGTTGGAGAAAGGTTCCTGAAGAGTTTTAATGTTATTTTTATTAAATATAGAACAATTTGGATATAATTATGTTATATTAATGGTTATAAGTGTTTACATAAAACAGTATTTGCATCACAACATTAAATACACCAAAATCTAACATGATTAAGTCAAGGCACTTGCTTTCTATATACGACTTTTCTTTCCTTTTCTGCATGCCGGGAACCTCCCTTAAAGATTAGGCAAGCTGCAGCAGAAAATGACAAATTGTTAGCTAGCTAATGGATCATTTCTTACAAACCAGTTATCTGACACTTTAAAATTTATTACACTAAGCTTGTGCTTCAATAAAGTACTCTTTACACACCACAAATCACCAGTGCCTCAATAGAGGCTGTCTATAACACTTTTTACAAACCTGTTTATTAAAACAAAAACACAAGATAAAGTCAGCAAAAATGGTTTTAGTACTTACAGTTCAATTTCAACCCAGCCTTTTGAGCACCCTCGCTTTACATACAGACCAACCTGCAGAGCAAAAGTTACAGGAACCAGTATTTTAAAATATTAAATACAAAAGGTATCTATTAAAAATATATTTAAAAATCAGACTTAAAAGACAATTTAGATTTAATGACTGATTTGGAATAGGTATGCCAATAACTAGTACCAATTTACAATGCTGCCATGCATACAATTCCCTCATATGTAGTTACAATAAAGATTATGCCTGGGCAATAACTAGAGAAATCCTGTTACGAGGAAATTAGAATTGTATACAAAACTTCTGCCTCCCTCCCTCTCTAAAGCTTCAGTTTCTTCTACAGGGGAAAGAGAGAATATGGCTCTTTTTTGTCTAAAGAGCTCTACAACAGTTTTTTGTACTTCATGATCTGCTCCAAGACTGATGCCCTATATTAGACTGGCCCTTGAATCAAGTTACACAGAAGAAGGAATTTCAGACAGTCATATTGCCTACTGCTAGAAAATACAAATGAATGTGATTAAGAGATGAGTACACTAATTTGGCTCCAAGCCCATCTATTTTTACAAAAAATTGAACCCCTGGGGCATGGGGAGGAAAAAGTCATTAAAAAGTCTGGAACAGTTAAAGGGATTCAGCCAATTCCTGACAGCTATATAATCCATCCATTATCACTAAACCAACTTTAAATATACCCTCTTAATTTTCAAACACACATATAAAAAGGTCAAACCAACAAATAAATAGATTAGAAAATCCTACTGCCTATTCAAAAGGTCCACTTTCAATATACCATAAATACACTACACTTTATAAAGGAGAAGTGTATTATTAAAGAAAAAAATGACATTTTATTCACCTCTAACCAAAGTTCTTAAAGATGGACTCTACATATTCATATTCATGGAATATGCTGACAGTGCAGCTCTGATGGTGGAACCTTCTTGTAGCAGTGCTCGTTGGAGCATTTTACTATCAGGGCTGCAATGTCACTGCAACATATGAACAGGATGTGCTGAGCCCACCCAAAGAAATATATTTAGGGATTCTCTACACATGGAGTTGTTCCCAATTAACCCCAAATGTTGACATTCTTACTCCGGAATAAGAGTTATTTGTTCCTGCTTAGTTGAACATGTATCTAAAATGCATTAAGATAAACAGGTACAAGGCACTCTTATTCTGGACGAAGAGTGTTCATATTGTCAATAATGCTGTCAATAACACATTTCAACACTCTATATGGCTCTTACCCAAAAGCATTATGTACCCCCAAACCATCTAATTTGCTAACACAAAGCCATTTGATATCAATTATCAACTGATAAGTACCTCAGACTTTCACAGATTCCATGCATTTTGGAAGCTCTGATGAAAAAAAGACTTAAAAGTGATTAAAGTAGTAAAGTGAAACACTGAAAATGTAGGAATTAACACTATTCCTACATGCTTCAATTTCTCTAAGTAGGTTGTGTTAGCTGGAAAATTTAAAGAGGTCCCAACATGAATCAAGTGCTTCCAGACCGAACACCAAAGCTCAGTCAGGTTAATAAGCAGAAGACCAACATTACAGCTGCAGAGCTCTTTGTAGAGCTACAGCAGAGCTGGACAATTCAGAGAGGTTTTGTTTCTGCAGCAGATTGACCTGCTGAGGTATTATTATCCACCTGGAGTTTACAAAGCACCAGGATTACGGCTATTCCTGCTGGACTGGGCCCTAAATTATTAAGTTAAATGTCTAGATCTCAAAAATTTGCACTCACCTTGTCTGCACGCCCTATGAAAGAAGGTTTTCCTGCCAATCCCAGACAAATGGCACAAACAATGCTTGATTTTCCTGTTCCATTAGCTCCTACTATCATGTTCAAATGGGGTCCTGGAGACACTTCACAATTATCATATGTTCTGAAAGAAACCATCATTTTAGGCTAATAGACAGTGATATAGACCAGAAAAATCAATCACAGTTTCATGCAAAACAAGCATATTTACCTCAGCGCCATTCTGACATTGTTTTAAATATGATAAAGCAATACTTCTAAGATTGAAGTCTTTTCTAAACATTGTTTTCTAGAAAAGCTCAACACATGGCAAAAAACCCTAATCCCATATCATTTAACAGTGTAATGAAAATATACCAGCTGCAGCACATGTCTATCCTTTACCATGACGACTGTGGAGAATGAAAAGCTTAGAGTAAAATCCTGGCTCCACTGAATCAACTGCATAGCCCCCCTTAACATCAATGGAGCCAAGATTTCATCCTTAATATTTTACCCATCTGTCAAAACAACAACCAAAAAATGTTAGTCTTTTAGGGAAAATGGACAAGTTGAATTTTACAAGGCTGATTTAAACACTTTTTGTTCAGTTGATTGTTTCTAAGTCCGTCAGATTTGACTCAGGTAGGCAGAGGGCTGTCTCCTGTAGTTGCAGATCTTAGAAGGCATAACCTGTACCAAAGGCCTGTGTGATACCACAGCAAGCCAGATCTAAGATCTGCAGCATGGTTCCCAGCTTCTGTCAGTAGACTGAAATTTCCAGTCCAATCTGAAATTTCTGTGATAAATTCATTTAGTTACAAAATCTGAGAATTTTAATTAAAACTAATATTAAAGAGCTCTTTGGGGTAGAGACAATGGTTTTGTTATATGTTTGTACAGTGCCTAGCACAGTGAAGTCATGATCTATTACTTAGTTCCTAAGTGCTAATGCACTACAAATAATTAATACAATTAATAGTCAGTACTGTACCTCCTGTGCCATTTATTTTTACATTAAACTCAGTATCTTCTACTGTCCATTCCTTTTAAATTTTCCAATTGCCAAAGAGATTTTACTGACAACACTTAGCCGCACTGTAGAAGAGCTCAGGGATATAAGTAATGGCTTGTCTTCATGTATAGTGGTACAGCTGCGCCACTGTACCACTTCACTGCAGACGCTACTATGGGCACGTCTTCACTACCCGCCGGATCGGCGGGTAGCAATCGATCTATTGGGGATCGACTTATCACGTCTAGTGAAGACGCGATAAAATTGATCCCCGACGGCTCTGCCGTCGACTCCAGAAATCCACCGCGGCAAGAGGCGGAAGCAGAGTCGACGGCGGCACGGCAGCGGTCGACTCGCCGCCGTCCTCACAGCCAGGTAAGTCAACCTAAAATACGCAACTTCAGCTACGCTATTCACGTAGCTGAAGTTGCATATCTTAGATCGACCTCCCCCCCCCCCCGTAGTGTAGACCTAGCCTATGTCATCGGGAGAGCTTCTCCTGTTGGTGTAGTTTGTCCACCTCCCTGAGGGGCAGCAGCTATGTCGGTGGGAGAAGCCCTCCTGTCAACACAGCACTGTCTACCCAGGGGTTAGCTGCAACAGTTATACTGATAGGGGTCTGTAAAGTAGACCTCCTGTAAAGGGTTTGGCTGCTGGGGATTTTGGCACCTGAAGAGGAGTGGGAGACAGGCTGTGGGGCAGACAAATAACCTAAATGTTTCTTCTTTAAATGATCAGCAGTTGAATACTTCATGCTGAGGCTTAAACTGCCACACTTTAGGTGTCAGTATTAATCTATTGTGATACATAGGGCAGTCCACACCTCCAAAAGCAGTTGTTTCCCTATCTGCCTGTAGAGTCAGGAAGAAATCAGTGCTGACTTTACATTTACCTTTGTAAGGTTTCTGGCCCCAGCCGTAACGCTAGAACAGTTTTTTCTGGAGGTGTGGAACACGAAAGGCCTGGGAAGGCCACCGCGGAAGCTAGCCAGTACACGGCGCCTTGCCCAAGCCGTTTGTGAATGACGGCCAAGTGCTGTCCAACACTGAAGGTACAGCCAGTGACACACACGCTGCCCGTCTTACAGGGCGGCCGACACCCGGCCACTCTAGTCTCGTTAAGCCGCTAGTGCGAGGAACTAGGCCGGCCCCAGTAGCCAGAGCCCCAGCAGTTAGAGCACCCGGGGGGAGGCAGAAGCCGCACCGGCCCCACTGGCACAGCAGCGGCACCGGCTAGCGAGCTCTGCCCACACGTCTGGGGCCCCCGCGTTCCCACACTGGAGCTGGGCTCCCTCCCACTATCGCACGTGACAGCAGGGGCGGCGCCGCCAGCGCCCAGGGCCACGTTTGCGAGCCAGCCCCAGGCCGGGCCGAGGGGAGCCTGGCGTGATCCCCTGACTCCCGGAGCTGGGCCCTTAGCCGAGTGCCAAATACCCCCGTCCTCACGGCCCAGCGGGCGGCGAGCAGGGACTCGCGGTGCGGCCGTAGCCCCCCAGCACGAGCCGCCGCCCCCCCTCGCCCCGGCAGCAGGGGGCGCCGCACTCACAGGAAATTCTCCATAGTGACCCTGACTATAGAGCCCTCCACGAAGGGCGACTGCGGCTGCTCCCGGCCGCTTCCCTCTGGCCCGGCAGCCCCCGAGCCTCGCTTACTCCACCCGGCGCCGCTGCCGCTAGTGGCGGCCCCGAGTTTCCGCTTGCCCGGGGCCGCCATCTTTGCGCCAACCTGAAGCACCGCCCACCACCTGAAACTTTTGTTGCGCGCCGTTAAGCTGAAAACGAGCCCGACACGCGCGCCCTATTCCCATTGGTAGAGAGAGTGGGACGGAAGGGGAGAGGCATAGTCCGTTGGCTAATGGAACACCGGGTGTCACGTGAAACCTCACTGGTTGAGAGAGGGGTGGGGCCAATTCGTTACTTTCAGTTCAGTATAAAGGGTCCGAACGCGCGAGACTGATGGGAGGAGCCTTCCCACAAGCCAGCCAGCCAGGGCACGTGGTGTATTTGTGACGTTGGCTGTTGCGGGCTTTCTGATAGGGCTTCTCTTTTAGGGTTTTATATGGTGATTGCGGGGGGGTAATAGCGTCCCAACTTGAACCCCTGTCTCCGCGTAGATGGCGCGCCTTATTTGCATACGACGGAATCACAGAGGGTTGTCCCCCACCTTACAAGAAAACTGCCTGCGCCTCGCAGCCTGCTGTGCAGCCATCAAAGACTACATTGCCCAGCACGCAGCGCGGCAAGCGCCGTTCCTTGTGACTGGCTGAGCATTGCATGCTGGGAGACGTAGTTCTCTTGAGCCCCCTGCCCCTTCCCTACTCTGAGGGCTGCTGCTCTCTGGTTTGGGGTGGGAGGAGGTCTCTGTTTTCCCTGGCGGGGCTGATTGCCCCATGCGCTAAGCAGGCTCAGCCTTTCGGGCTGGGGAAGGAGGGGAATTGCTCACCCCACCAGCTGCCTTCACCCAGGGGCATAGGGCAACCCTGAAACTGCCTAGACCGGTCTCCGATACTGGGTTTCTGCATTAAAGTGGTGACAGCAGTCCTCGCTGCTGTGCAATGTGCCAGGACAGGCCCGAGCAGACTGCTGCACCGCTTGTCCGATGCTGCTTCGGTGGTGGAGAGGGTCACTTACGGTCACGACGCTGACACCTGTGGACAATTTTATAAGTGTTGTATAAAAATGCTAGATTTCTAAATACTATGAGTGTCTGGTACTATTAGGTGAGAATATTGATGTAAATGAAATCACAGAAACATAGTGGACTTCTGATAATCCATGGGACACTAATACCACAGTATAAAATATATAGGAATGACAGAGTAGATTGCACTAGTGGGGAAGTGGCACTATACGTGAAAGAAAGAAGAGAGTCAAATATAGTAAAAATCTTAAATGAGTTAAACTGTATGCTAGAATCTCTATGGATATAAATTCCATACTTGAATAATAAGAGTATAGCAGTAGGAATATACTACCGACCATCTGACCAAGATGGTGATTATAACATGCTCTGGGAGATGAGAGAGGCTATAAGAATAGAAAACAGTAATAATGGGGGATTTTAACTATCCCCATATTGACTGGGCACATGTCACCTCAGAACAGGATGCTGAAATAAAGTTTCTAGACACCATAAATGACTGCTTCTTGGAGCAGCTAGTCCTGGAACCCACAAGGGGAGAGGCAATACTTGACTTAGTCCTATTAATTTTATTAAAGCAGTCCTATCATGCCATGTGCCAGCAAGAGGATCTTCAGGAGGGAAGGTGATCTTATATTCCGAGGAGCAAGGGGCAGGAGAGAAGCTAGGAGCAGGGCTCAGATGATTTAGGGTTAGTCAGATGAAGAGTTCCTGGCATGGGGACAGGCTAGCAGCTGGTCTCTTAGTATTGTTTGCTGACACCGTATCCGTTTACATTTTTAATATGGATCAAAGTGCCATTTTTAATTCACTCCTCTATCCCCTCCCTGATATTTGAAATTGGGAAGCATAAAAACTATTGCTGTTACAAAAAAAAATTATTAAGAGGATTTCAAACTGAGGGTGGTGTTATTGTCTTTTCCACAAGATGGCAGCATAATCTAGCAATTCTTCCACAGAGAGAGAATTTTAAAGGCATAGGGGATATATAGTAATTAATAAACAACTCCTTCAGGAATATGCATGTTTTAGCTATTTGCAATCAACTAGGGAGCAGGGGCAGAGATAACCAGCTTCCATTTTGAAGGCTGATTGTATGGAAAATTAGTCATAGGGATTGTTCCTAAAAGTCATTGGTTATTCAACATCCTTTCCCCTCCTTTTGAGGAGGACCCTCAACAGATTCATGTTAGGGGTGGCTGGATATTCCACCATCACTATTGGAACTGGCAGGACTTCCACCAATGGCATTAGGGTTTCTGCAACTTCTTTTCCTTACAGCTGAGCTGACACTCTCAGCTGCCAATGTAGCTTCCAGTCATAAAGAGTGGGGCAACTAGATTAAGGAGTTACATGAAAGTAAAACTGGAGTAAGAGTGATGAACCAAGCCCCTATGTTAAACCAAGATTAATCTAATACTGGGCCAGAATCTGGTCTCATTTACACGAGTGTAAACCCAAAATAACTGTATTAAATTTGATATAAACTGGATTTACACCAGTGTAACTGATAAGAATTTGTCCCTCTTAAGTAATAAAAATATGCAAAAAGATGAGGTAATAGAACATACACATACAAACAGCAAAATAAAGAAGACAATATTACAAACAACCAAGGAACAATGAAAAGGTCTGTCCTGCTCTCAGGACAATGCCAGTTTTACTGCAATACAATTTGTTTCCAGAACAACCAAATATAAACCATTGAGTGTTTGGGATCCTGTAGTTGCTTTTGAAGGCTCTGTTTACATAGGTATACTGGAATAGTCCACAGAACTGGGCTCATAGCAGTTGCATGAGGATTTATTTTTAAGGCTTCTGAAGAGATTTTTAGATGGCTGATTTATATAACATGTCACATAGCTTAGGTATCAGCCTCAATTCTTTGCTTTGCTGTGGTCCAGTTATGCTGCTCCAGTGATGCAAGGTGCCATATAATAGATGAAACTGGCCTCCAGGTCCAGGATATTCCCCTGGTGTAGGGGGTTTCCTACTTGGCACAGACCGATGGAATGACTATGCTGTCTCCCTCCCCTCTCACAGCATAGAGACTCGCCAGTTGGGGGAGTATTGTGGATGCTACCTCTATTCTTAATTGGCCATGGCCATCAAGGGGTCATGTGCTGCCCTGAGGCTGTGAATTCAGGAGACACAAAGTGGCCTAAAGGCACCTTTTCTCTTCCCCCTTTCATTCCTCTGCCTAGTGCAGTGGTTTTCAAACTTTTTTCATTTGTGGACCCCTAAACAATTTCAAATGGAGGTATGGCCCCCTTTGGAAATCTTAAGACAGTCTGCAGACCACCCACTGTTCTATGGTAACAACAACATTTTTGTGGACCCCTTTGACATAGTCTATGGACCCCAAGTTTAAAATCACAGGAAGTATTGGTTAATTAACACATCTTAAGATTTTTGTTTAATGTATATATTGTATTGAACAAAATCAAATTCTTTGATTGTGCCTCCAATGTTAAAAATACACACACCAAAAACCCAGCTGATTGGAGGCATAAGGTAAATCTACACAGCAAAAATAAAAACCCTGCAGCAGCAATTTTAAGAGCCTGAGTAAACTGACTCGGTCTTGCACTATGGGGTAAAAATAGCAGCATAGATGACTTTTGGGCTTGGGCGGGAGCCCAGGCTCTGAGACCCACCCCTATCACCAGGTTTCAGAGTCTGGGCACCCCCCCCAAGCCCAATTTTTAGCCCTGTAGTGCGAGCCCCACGAGCCTGAGTCAGCTGATGCAGGCTATGAGACTCGCTGCCTCAAGTCTTTTGTGCAGTGTAGACGTACTGATAGAGGGCCATATCTTCAGATGTGGCCAAGGAATGTTTAGTGCAGCTTGTGGAGGTGGGGGTAGTGGATTGGACTCTAGATGCAAATTAGAGCAGCCTGAAGTCTACTCCAATATGCACCAGGTGCCAGCAGTCCCAAGGGACCGTTAAAGCAGCTGGGGATCACGGGTGTACAAGGGAGCATTGGCCACTCCTGTTTCCTGGGCCACATACCCTGTTTCAGCAGCCAGAATGGGGACTGGCATAGGAACTGTTACAATGTCTACATATAGAATCCTTCTGTAGCTGGTTACATTGGCTTTTGGGCTGCTCTGGGTTCCTGCAGTGCCAAATATACTGGAGGATCCAGTCCATAATTTGTTCTGAAAATTCTAAGCTTGTTTGCATATCATCATGGCAAGAACTAGAGAACACAGTGTTTGAAGTGGAGCAATAAAATAAGACATTCAAAATTACATTTTATTAGATAGTTTGGTAATTTTAAAACAAACATATTGTAATACAAACACACATATAATGTCTTAAGAGTTAACAGATTATGTCAATTGAGTTTCTTTTTAACATAAATGCAAAACATTTGTGGTTGGTTAAAGTATATAAAAAGTGTGAGTGTAGAAACTGACATTTAAAAAATGAGGCCAGCAGTCCAAACAAAGCGTGCCTCCTCTATTGCATACAAACCAATAGCAGTGTATTTTAATATAGTATTAACTTACACTGAATCACACATTGATGGAACATTGATGGAAGTCCTTTTGTTATTCACATTGATGGCAAATAGATTCATTATAGTAATTAGTCTGGCAAAGAATAGTGAAAAATCCATTCATATGGAACATTTAAAGTATTACCAGTAAGAGACTACATTTTCCCAAAGAGATTTGTCATCATGAATAATTGCTTTCAATGTGTAGGATATTATTAATATCCAATATTATTTACTTATTTCAAAATATTTATGTCTTGAAATAAAAACAAAACCCACTTTCTACCCAACACAAAACATTCATTGAATGCAGATTTAAGATAACACAATATCAGATTTTAATTGTGCCCTTTTTACCTTCTTCTCTTTACCTATGCGACAAAAAAGATTTACCAAACAGCATTAGTATTTTATTGCTTGATCTGTGCAAAATGGGAAGCCTTTATATAATAACTAATATCACATGCAAAAGAGAAAAAATCAATAAGAACAGTCTAAGAAGCCCTGAGTCAGTAACTTTGTTACAAGGACAGGAGTGCGCTGAATTATTCCTATACATCGGTGACATATTCAAAATAGTCCAGTAT